GGCTTTTTAAGCGTGCAGACGTCGGCGGAGTGAGAAGAGGCAGAGAAACGATGATTATATTTATGCGTGGAGGCTTTTGTTGCAAGACCAAAAACTATACTCTAATACGGATTGTTTCTATACACTGCATGCGACTTCGAGAAATTCTTCAATTTTTCGCAACGATGATCGCGACGCGTCGCTATTATACACGTTTCAAGATCGGTATAACTTTTACTCGTTTTCGTTTTTTTTTCTTTCGAGGTGACCTGCGAGACTTGAAATATTCAAGGTTCACTCTCTTTTAGAAATTGTCAGAGTTTGGTAAGAGTGAAAAGCAGTACTTCTTGCTTTCGATTGTTTTTACTTCTGGTAATGATGTTGCAAGTGAATGTCAATAATTCAATAAGCGATACTTCAATAAAGTGCGGATAAAAGCAGCTGAACGCCACATATTTTCTCGCGGGCCAAGAAAATAGCGCTCTTTTGCTTACATCACCCTCGAGGTCGTATTTTTTCTCTCTCTCGAACTACGAACAAAAGTCAATAACGCATACGCGCACGACAAGAGGTAAAATATTAGTATTCAGACTGCAGTGTGGCGTCGACGATAAAAACTCTGCGAGCATAGAAGCACAAGAAATACTCAACTATTATATGTAGAGAGAGACAGAGAGAGAGAAAAGAAGAAGACGGCGACGACGTCGAAGCATATACAAGGCGTGCTACAGCATATAGCCAGTTGGGCAGACTCCGAGGGTCTTAGCCCTGAGCCTCCCATCCAAGGTCGTCCAGTATGCGAGTCGTCCTGGAGGGCACTGGCCCCTACTCGCTCCTAAGCCCGCGACCAAGGTTCCAATGGCTAGAGAACGAGTCTCTGGGAGAGAGAGAAAAAGGAGAAGAGGACAAGCTTCTGCTGTGTGCAAGCCTCTTTACAAAAGGGAAAAAAGTCAAGCGAGGGGAACAAACGCTCGCACTCTCTTTCTCTCTCTCACACACACATACAGGCACAGACACGCACGCACGAATGTTCGCGTTTATACACACACACACACACACACACACACACATATAGTTTGCGGTTTTCAACAAAGAAAGAGTCCTACGTGCAGCAGTCGTTGCCAAGTACGTATAATACATAGCGAAAAAGGGGACTGCAGCAATGGCTGAGCGCAAAAGGGTCTTTTTGTACATTTACACACACACAGACAGACGGACGGACAGACACATAGAGTTAAGCAGAGCCGAGGATATATATAAGTATACGAACATTTGGGCTCTATTACGATGATTCATCGACCAACGATTCGCTCGTTTTTTCTCTTTCGCAGCCGAGCCGCTGATACAATTTGCCTCGAAAAACCGATGAGCGAACGATGTTTATGCGAGAGAACGGACGCGTGCAGCCGAATTGATATTTGACGTTGCTGCTCGTTTTCCTTTTATATTCATTTATTACAATCACTTCCGAACTTGAGCGATGCATTTTAATGATAGCTTGGGCCATAGATAGAAGATTCTGCGCCAGATACCGCGTGAAAAACATGTCGTTTAACTCGACGGCCTTCGGCTCCTATTGCCGGGTATATATACGACGTCGATTTTATTCCCAGACTGTATTGCAAGGATGAAATCTCATCTGCGCACAATAGAAGATTGCACGAACATCAATTCGAGAGGAATAGCGAACGTTTTGAGTTGCAGGTACTAAGAGACTCTCCTCTGTAAATGCTGGGTGTGTGTATGTGCGTGTGTATATATATGTACGTTATGTGGTCAGTACACGTGAAATTGCTTCGAAATCGATATTCAGCAGCAGCAGCAGCAGCAGCTAGAAAAGAAGGAAATGGCTTCGAAACATCGCGCGGACAATTGTACAAGAAAATCGACATACACACATACGTACATGCACATCAGAAAAAGAGAGAGAGAGAAAGAGAGGAGAGGAACGGCGTCGTAAAGGCTCAGCTGCAAAGGAAATAAAACATATAGTTATAATGCCCCGGTGTGGATTGAAGGTAGAACAACGAGAGATATCGGATCTTCGAGGGAGCCGGAGCAGCACGGGCCAGGCATTACGATCGCACGCACTACTGCAGCTTTTATATCCGAGCGCCTCTCTCTCTTTCGCTATCCGGCTCTTTTTTCCCTATAATACTTGTATGTGTAGCGAGACACAATATGTGCGTGCGTGTAAATGTGAGCGATATGGCAATGACAGGGTATGCACACGAGCTCGCGTCGTTCAAGGGAGAAAGAGGAGAGAGCCGAGCCGAGCAGCCCTGATAATGTGCGCGTGTACGTTTATATATACCCTTGAAGCGTTGAAGGTTGTTGCCGCCACCGCCGCCGCCGTAGCCGTAGTCGTTCCGCCCGAGGGCTGACCGACCTCACCTTCTGGCTTCTTTATTCTCTCTCTTTCTCTATTTTTCTCTCTTTCCACGCCATATCTCTGACTTCCTTTTCAAACGCATCGTTGTATGTGCGCGAGTAATAATTCATAGTCATTTCGTATTGTTTATAACGCCACTTTTATTAATTCAAGTAGCCGAGCCCGATTGAGTTACGGTTGCTACGATACGCGTTGGCTTGTGACATTATATAAATTCAGTACGTATACTGCCGCGGTGCAGTAACAGCGCAGCAGCAAAGAGGCAAACGTCGGATTAATTAATATTGCTCCAAAGATCGTGTATATGCACGCGCCTCGTGCAGCTGCGCATATGTGCACATTTATTGCGAAAACACGAGCCCGCACGTACGGATATTCCGATATTTTGCGTAGCACATGCAGCAGGTGGTCCTCGTCTCGCTTTTTTTTCCTCCTTGATGCATCGTCGATAGTCCTCGATGAAGAAGAAAAGGAGAGAGAGCTCGAGAAGAAGAAAGTCCCGCAGCATCGGACGCTCGTGTCCAATAACGTGCGCACACATGACATACAGGGCACATGGGCATGGACCCACATTTACATCATGGAAAACGAAGTTGTAATGCGCGCATAAGCATCAACGTGATCCTACAGTCACGCTGACGACAATCAAAGCTATGTAATGCGTTTCACGCTCGACGAAACGTGAATCGTCCTCTCTCTCGAGTCTGCATCGAGAGAGACGATATAATTTTAAACGTTTTCAAGTAGGTTTATATTTTGAGTTTCCAGCATGAAGCATGATATTTCCTCAAAGTACCTTTCTAAGCTGCTGATTAATGTAATAAGGAAATCTATTAATGTTTTAACAGATGTGAGCACTTGTAACATTGGCTCCTTAAATCTTGAAACATGCTGCTCTTATCCTAATTCAATAAGCTACTGCTCAATTAGTTACAAAAATGGAGTCGTAAAAAATCCAAAGAACATGGCTGCATTTGAGCTGGGTAATTGATAACCGACACGGATCAGTCGACGATGACAGCGCGTACGAATTACACGCCGCACTGATATGTATGTACAGTGTACACACACATACATGCACACGTATGGAGTAGTCGCATTGCGCGCCGCGCGTGTATTTTCACATTTCTTTCATGACCACGACACGATTACCGCATTTTTTCGTTTCAATGTCGCGCGTACATAGTACACACATACACGCGCGCGTCGCGTTATAGCTCGAGCTGCAGCAGAGAACCGTTTTTTTCTCTCGCAACGCAACTGCAGTACGCTCGAATAAACACACATACACATACGTATGATCCATCATTTGATTTATTGTGCACACCGAGTGCAATTATTAATGAGCATAAGTAAGTGAGCTGCAGCTCTTGATCGGCGACGAATAGCTCCTTTGTGCTGAAAAGTACCACTGATAAGACAGCCAATCGTAATATATCCACCGCGTAATTGTTCAAGTACGACAAAAGGTCGCGAGCGGCCATCTCGCGAGCGAAAATTGACCGCACATCTCGACAACTAAAAATAATGCACGAGCTTTTCAACCGGAGATATAGGCTCCGCATAGAGAGTGTGTGGACACTGGAGTCGTAAGCCGGAGTGGCCAATCGCTGTCTTTTGACAATCAATCTCGCTTTCTCTCTCTGCGGTGCGATGCAGCGTTCGCGGCAAAAACATATGACTGCAACAAGTCGATACACACACGCGTGCATCCAAGACAATAAATTTTTTTCTTATCTTATCACTCTGTTGGCTTTCCGAGAGCGAACTTTTCGATGAACCTTTTCTCAAAGTCGGTATGCACACAACAGTGAGTGTGTGCCTCGATACAAAGAAATAATTGCCTCGCATTAGTTTTCGAGTAAATTATGCGACAGCAACTGCAACAGCGCGTGTTTTCTCCGCGATAGAGCGCGAGAGAGGGAGAGAGAAAAACGTCCTCTCGAGATAAGTTCGCCGATGCAAAAAAAAAGAAGAATACTCGCGGCAGAATTTTTTCTTCATTTTCTGCCACGGTCGTGTCGAAATTCAATCGCGAGAAGCGGATAATATTCTGCGCTGTCACTCGAATTAACCTCAAAGCAGCATGCAAACATTGTGATATTCGAATGGAGCGTACAAAACTGCAGCAGCGAGTGTCCGTGCGCAGTAAGTAAGTAGGCAGAGCGCAGACAAAATGAGATCGTGGAATGCACACACACATGCATGCATGTATGTATCGCTGCCGCTCGCGCGAGAGAGACTCGTGCGTCAAAGTATAACGCGATACATAGCTGGGCTCGTTTTTTTGTTTACTCATCAAAAACTTTCTACCGATCTCGATTCGAAAATCATTTTTCAATTAGATAAAAAAAATTGTCATTTGGGAGGCTCGTATCAATAAATGATTCGAGGTCAAAGTCGTAATGCACGTATATTTAGTGGAAAAATTAATGACCACGCACGAGCGTACACATTCATGCACACACACACAGGCGCGCGCAAACTTATACACATAGGTGAACCAGACGAGCGTCAGCGGTTATCATAATAACTTTTTTTTATCGCTCGGATAAAAAAAGAAATAAAGGAAAAAAGGATTGATGTGGTGTTGGTGTGGTTGTGGGTCGATTGTAGTTAAGACACGTACCGAGCTAACGCCATTCTGTCATGGGACAAAGCAAGCGGCGCAGGAGGTTGAGCTGAAGCTAGAGTATCCAGATTTGCGATGGATACTGCCGCAGCGTGCAGATCTGCAGCCGCTGGCGACAACGACAGACCCAATGATGAAACAATGATGAGCACCGATTCGGAGTCGGTGATCTTGGCGTTTTTTTTGTTTTGTTTTTTTTTTGTTTTGCTTGCTTTTTGTTTTATTGTTTCAACAACGCGGTGCTGCACTTGATATTAAAACCACTTCTGCAGCTGATGAAACTTTAATACACAGTCGCTTTATTATACGTTTTATGGTTATTATTATTATTATTATTATTATGTATTTTTAACGATAAACTTTGAGCGAGCGCAGGGATCGGAGAGCTGACGAGGCAAGAGCCTGACGTTTACGTCGTATACGTCAGAAAAGAACTTTTGTCACTCTTTATTATTCATTTGATTCACTCGCGCGACGCCGCTGATTACAATTTATTAATTAATCGGTTTTATTTTGTAATTAGAAAATTGCTTGTCGTTTTAACACAAATTTACACACCTGCTGACACCACTCATGGGTAATCTTAAAACACCCCAAGACATTGGAGGCAGATTTTGATTTTGTCTCGCACACATTTAATATTTTTTTGCGACGATGAAGTTATCGCAACGTAGAAAAATGAAAAGGCACTGGGCGCGGCAAAGCACACCACCACGTTAAAACTTTTTTTTCACAGTTAAAACACAAAAAAAAAACGATTTGCACTACGTGTTCCTCGGCTTTGTTGTAAGCTAATTATTGTAGTCGAGCACGATCAGCCACGATCCACTAAGGTTCACAAGGTTGCGAGAGCAGAGCAGCGGTTGCATATATCGATCGACGCACTGTTATCTATACGTACAAAAACACAGTTTTTTATTTTGTTATTTCTCTTGCAAAAGATCACTGAGTTTAGCACTGAGAGAAGGACAGACGACGGGACAGATCTAGCAGTAGTCGAAGCGCAGAGCAACAACAATAGCAGATATCAGAGACGCATACATAGAGGTGCCAAGAAGCGAGTGAAAGAGGGAGAAAAAAAGCTCGAGCAGAGCTTTGTGAACCGCAGCGAGCGAGATCCGGAAGTCTCGCTCCTCGGTCGGGCACGCACGCCTGGCAGCTGTAGCAAGTAGCCTCAGACTGACGTATTTGGCGCTAGCTACGCGTCGCCAGTCTGCACACATCCCCTCTATTCCCCGCCCGTGACAGCAGCAGCGCGAGTTGGCTGCCCCCACCGTTGGCAATAACGACGCCGCCGTCGCCGCCGCCGCCACATTCGCCTCGGTTCGCATGTGCACTCACACACGCAGAGGGCCGTGCTTTACTTTACAGCAGCTGCACATTCGCAGAGCCATATCTTGCACGCATGCGCCGCCGCCGCTGCTGCTGCTGCGCGAAAATCGAGATAGATAGATTGCTCCGTATAGCGGAGAGAGAGAGAGCGAGGCCTCAGGCCGTCCTCTTTGCTCTCAGCGCGCGGTGTAACGCGAGAGCCTAGCCGGTGCTGCAGTGCACTCGCGGGCGCACCGGCCTCAATGTGTATATTGCACTGCTGCATGTGCAGCAGCTTATGCACTCGACGGCAGCGGCGGCGGCGGCGGCCTCGTGGCTTGGGCTTTCCGCGTGCCGTAAATGCGCAAGTGCACGCCATGCAGCTAGCTGCAGCGGATAATGTATCCTTTGCTGCACTACTCGTGCCTATATGCCGGCGAGAGTATAGATATGCGCTGGCAGCAGGGAGCACGGCAGAGCTCCTCCTCCCCTCCCCCTTCGTCCCTCCCGCTCGCCTCGATTCGCTCCTTTCGGCTGGAAGCCCTCGTTTATTCGAGGATTTCGTGTTTATAAGCGCCAGCCACTTCCAAACGTAATATTAATGGGGGGAAAAACTGTCAAAATCATCAGGTGCAGCTGTGCGCCATTTAGATAAATAAGCTCGCGTCTCTTCCTCTCTTTCTCTTTCTCTCCCTCTTTATCGATCGTTCAATTAAACCTTAATTAAGGATAAAAGCCCGTGGATCCTCGCGGGAGTTGGCAATCGAGATTTTATGTATATGTATGTATATAGATAGGAGCAGAAGAGGCCGCGGAGCAACAATGAGTGCGCGCAGCCATGCTCTCGAGAATCGAGACTCGTGGGTGAGGCAACGCCACCGCCACTGCGGCCGAGCCTACATAGTGCCTGTATAGCGCAGCGCACAAGACAAGCTCTTTCTCCTCGGCAGCGGCGCGTTTTCGGGGTCATATATTATTGGAAGCATGACGGATGTTACACAAAAGCCAGCTTCGAGCGGCTTTCGAGCGGAGCCGTATGGAGCGAGGGAGAGAGAGAGAAAGAGCCACGAGCTTGATAATACGTATAAATTCTTGGTTTTTGGAAGAGTCAACTTATCTAGTCGCTAGTCCCTAGCAGCCGGATAGGACGAGTGCAGGTCGGCGCTCTCTCGTGTCGCCTGCACCACATTCAAGCCTATCGTCGTATCTCTGCTTGCCAACGCGATGATTGTTACAGATATATGTACGTAAGAACATATACATCGCGAGTGACCTCGTAGCCGCCTATACCGATCCCGTCTGCTCCGCGAGCTTCTCTCGCGCATAGCCCACTTTCTTTTTACGTTCCTCTCTCTCTCTCTCTCTCTCTCTCTCTCTCTCTCTCTCTCTGTATAAACAATTATATTGAATCGGCTTTTTAGGCCATACGTCAAAAAATCATTGTCGCACAGCTTGCGCATCGGCCTTCGTGCTTTTAGCCGAGGGAAAATTTATCCTCGTTGCGCGCACGGGGCAACTTTCTGAGACTTTCGGAAAAGCGTACGCTAGACTCGGGCGGCAAGTACAAAAATGCGGCTATCTTCTAATTTCTAATTTATAAACCAACTTTACAATAATCGCAGAGCAACTTCTAACTAGATCACAGGTGCAATTAATTCGTTTGTTTGTTCCTTTTTTTGCATCGATTTTTATTTTAAGTTCATTTATAAAATTTTCTACTCGCGCCCACAAAGCTTAGGTAGCAAGTAGACTTGATACAGTTGATACAGGTCACGTAACTTTCTCGCACCCGCGAGGCACTGCCGCCGAGTCTCTCGACTGAATTAATTTGCCTGTCTGCCTCTGCCTCATGCCTCTTGGTTTGCGCGAATATGCCCTCTCTATGTGTCTGTATGTATAATAATACCATAAGTATATCTGTGTTTGTTACGTCAGTTCTCTCTTTCTCTCTGTGAGAGAATTCGCCACCGCAGCCGTATGTACACAGGCTTTTCTATCTCTTGTCATCTCTTTATCTTGCCATCCCAGCGAATTATTCCTCGCTAGAGTTTGTGAAAATGCCGTCGAATTTTCAATGAATTTGACATTGGATTTTTTCAAATTTTTTCTCGCGTCGTCCTGTGCACCGAAGCAAAAGGACTCTAAAGAAGAAAAAGTGGAGCGTCCGGAGAATGAAGCCCGGAGCTTACGTTTACTTTATAGGCACAAAGGTACCTATACGCAGCTGTGCTATACACTGAGACGAAAGAGAGCAAGAGAGAAACGACCCGTAAAAAGTCCGTATATAGCTCTCTAAAAACGTTTCTCAGCACCTTTCTTGCCACTGCCTCTCGGCATAGCTGTCCCAATAATACACTCTTATACATTTTTTTCTCCTTGCTCCGCTTCTTCTTACCTTTTTTTCCCTCTCGTCTTTCACGTCCGCGTCATTTTCTTTCTTTTCATCCTGAATTTCTCGTTCATTGTCGCCGTGCGCGCAAAGTTTTTTTACGCCCTGGCGTATAATATATACTTTATGTTGATCCGCGATACACCAGAGATTATGTATTTTCAACAAACATTCAGCTCTCCTCGTAACGTCAAATTAATATTCGATACTCGCTGCTGCTGCTTCTGATGCTGCTGCACCGGGTTACACAAAAGACGCACACGGCTGTAATGATGATTAATTTTTTTTTCGCGTGCTCCTCATCATTAGCGAGTGTTAATTAAAAGATTTTGCGAGTTGGAAATTCGAACAAAAGTAGACTCTCGAGGCATCGCCTGCGCTCACCTCTTCAACAGCTTGCTACTTGCATCAAAGATTCGTTACGAGTATTGTTGTATATATTAAATAATGCGCACCGTTGCAGATGTTATAACCCTCTGTTTATGCGAGCTGCTGCCGCTGTCGCACGAGGGGGGGGAGTCGGGGGGAAATTCAAGAGCTCCGGTATCAAGGGGGTGAATCCGTTTAAAGAGCTGCGCACGCCAAGTTTGACGTTAAAAGTGAACTTCCCAGTGAAATTATTCACGAGGAGTTCCTCGCTGAGCCTGGGTCCAACAAATATGTGACAAAGCGGGGACAAACTAAGTGACTCTTGAATTAGATAAGTTCAATGAACTTATATTTGTTCGACGAAGTACGTATGTTGTCATTCCGTATAATCGTGTTAAAGTTTCTATTTCCGTACAATCGAAGTAGTTTCTTTTTTCGAACTTACGAAATCAATCGATAAGGTAGCTTTCATTTAGATAAGTACCAACTTATATTCAAAATAATTCATTGTTCACCAATTAACTATCTAAAATATTGAGTTCAAGTTGTTTTTAATCGTATTGATATGCGTTATGACAAACGACAATGACCTATACCGAAAAACTTTCAAAATAAAAAATAAATGAAAAAATAATAAAAACTACGATGCGCGGTATTGTGATTTTTCTCGTTTTTTCGATGCAACGTCAATTTTTATTTTATTTTTTAGTGTATAACAAATACGTTTGAAAAAGAAAAAGCGTCTAATTCGACACCCAAGCAGACAGAAAAGCTCGATGGCGATGTATTCTTCCTCGGCCCGACTGTGAGTCTGTCTGCGTGCGTGTTTATATGCACGGAAAGTACATAAATCTCTCAGGTGAACCTCAACCTACGCAACACAACGGCTGAATGAATGTGTGTATGTGTGTGCCATACAGCGAAACTTTCTCCCGGTCCGTATAGCTGCAGCAACGAAAAGGGTTTCGAGCTGCCCTCATATACAAAATTCGTGAAAGCGTATCACCGTCGTCGTCGTCGCGTCGCCCGCATTTCTGGCGCTCTCGCGCAAAATTGATGCATACAATCGAGATACGTTTGCTTTAAATACTTTTAATTCATCCGGCCGGGCGAGTAGTGCACGCACGAGAGCGAGACACGACGATGAAAATTCAATGCGATTATTATCAATAACGAGAAATCGCGCATATATGTATGCGATATATAAGCGCACACAGGCTGGGCAATTGAAAAATAAGTGATTTCAACACGCGCGCGGCGCGGGTCGCGAATGATTTATCCGCGGAGTGAAGAAATTGGAAAGTTTCACGATCTGCTACCCGCTCGCTTAGCGCTGCCTGCGAGAATCGAGGCCGTGAACCGCGCTCGCAAGCGGCGTTCGAAAGAGAGAGGAAAGACTGCGAGACTGCTGGCCTGTGCTGTGCTGGGCTACCAAGCCGGGCTTTCCTCGAGCCCAGCGAGTCGTCCAGGTGGGCTTTTCCGATAATTTGCACCCCGAAAATTTTGGCAAGTCTCAGTTGTCGCTGATTTTTTAAAAGAGCCGAGTGAAAAGTGTCGGAGGTTGCGAGTCGACTCTTGAAAAATGAATGGCCGAGATACTCTAGTTAGAGCTTGTAAGGTAGAACGTGCACAGCAGCAGCAGCAGCAGCAGCAGCTTATAATATACCTATATAAATAACGAAATGTCGAGAGTTCAGAGGCGAGGTCAGGTCAACGGGGGACGCGCCGGCCGCTGTTGCCTCGGTCGATATCCGTATATATATATATGCATGCAAGCGGGCGCGCGTGTAGGTATAAAGCAGCTTGCATACGCGCGGTTATACTGCACGTACAACGATGTATATAGATGTAGGAGGCCGCGGCGAGCTTGAGAGAGAGAGAGAGAGCTGCGTGTGCTCGTCTCTATCATATCTATTATACAGAGATGCAGCTATATATCTGCCAGCACGCGCTTAGTCCAAGTCCTTCTCCGAGCGAGTCAACGCAGCAAGGGCGAGAGAGAAAATTTCACGAGAGCTATTTTCTCGCGAGACTCGCCTTGAGAGACGCGCTCGCGCTGATTTTCACTCGCCGCCGCGCATCGGGAAACTCCGACTTG